CTAAAAGCAAAATAGCTGTATTTCCCCTCCCTTGCAGTTTCTTCTTTAGTGTGTTTAAATGGAGGTCGTGTCCACCAAAAAAATAAATTTTTTTGTAACCAATTGTGATTATTGAGCTCAATGTATTCTTCAATGCAAGCTGCAAATGGCATTAACACTGCTGGAAAGCCACCTTACTTTATTGTGTAAAAGATCAGAATATTGGCTATTGACTTCCTTAAGAAGTTCATTTTACGTTGAAATTTTTCTACTGCCTTTTCTTCTCCCTCTCGATAAGTGTTTGCAAATGTTTTGTTCTTACTCTGATATTGAAGTGATAAGTGACTATTTATAGTCTTTGGTGTCTTTTGTATTGTGATTAATTCATACAACAAAAAAGATACAATGTAATATATTGAACAGATGTTATGGATATGTGGCATTATCTGCTTTTTTCATAAGCTAAGTGTCCACATTTCGGTTGTAGCCTATCGTAAATTCAACAAATGGCTTATACTGTGGATTGAAACTAGAATTTTGAGCCAAAAATCATGGGGTCAATGTCAACGAGAATCAGTCACATGCGAAACAATTGAAATTCAGAAGATAGTCAATAGTTTATTCTTGCAATTTTTACAATAATACATTTTTTTTTTTTTTTAAATACTAAAAGAAAATTTAAAGCAAAAACCTTTGAGGAAAAATTAATTGCAACATTTTAAAAAAATTAATAAACAATTTTTAGGCCAATAACAACAAATATTTGCATTACAAAATTAATTATTGTTATGAAAGCTGCGTAACTATAGACGATTAATTTAATAAATAAAATGGTCTCGTTCTCAAAAATCCAGACTTCTTTAAAACCCAAAGACTGAAACAAATGATAATTTTGATAGTATTTCATAATTTACCATTAAATACATTTAATGCAAAAAAAATATATATATACTACTGGGATTACTTTCACAAATGATACAGAATGGCAAAAATATGCAGCCACAGGAAGAACTTACTTTAAAAGAAGTGTATGTGTGTGTTAACCTGTGCCAATTAACCTGTTCATTTATGGTTAATTCGTTCTGAATATCATTCAGAAACCTAATCTTGAATAAGACTTATTCTTTACTTAGTATAGTAAGCTATAATCATTAATAATGACAATAAAGAATAATATTTGACAGCAAAGACAAATGAATTTAGAAATTCAACACTGTTTCTTAATCATAAAGGAAACAGTCAATTTCTGTATTAAATTATTTAAACTATTGGCATAAACATATCCAGTAACCTTATAAAACAGCCTACACCTTAATAACTCTAGCTTGAGTTTTTAATTAAACTGTTTGTCAATGTTTTCGGTCCTTTTTTAAGACCGCCATCAGGCTGTTATTTATAGAGCAATCTTTCAAATATAATTAGNCGTATGCAAAATTATATAAAATTCAGTATTTTCTTGAATAAAAAAAAATTTTAAACTGCAATGAAAGTATTTGAAACACAAGAAGAGAAACAAATTAAATATAAGTTGTCGTTGGTAGTCTGGATTTTTCAGAATCAATTGTATAAGAATTATTGTTATTTTTTTCATTTGGACTGATGTCCAATATTTACATTATGGTCAACAGAATTCCATGAGAAATCCTTGTTCCCTATGAAAAATGACTTCAAAAATGGACCAGATTGGAAGAATTCTGAATTTAATGTTACATAATCTTTTAATATAAAAGATAAATTTAGATTAATGAAAAATGACTTTTTTTTTCCAGAATTAGAACAATTTCATCAGAACAGTAACTTTATTGAATACTATTATAAACATAATTTCACAACATATGAGCTATGCAAGTTATGTAGGTAGTTACCTGTAATTAAATTTTTTTCCCAGGTTCACTTACCCGCTTCTTTACGGCACAACCGTACGCTTTGATCGTGAGTATTGGTTATGTCCGACGACTCTTTTAAGTTCTACAAATTTGTTTTGTAATCTGACGTTCTACACAGTGTATTTTCAAATATACTTACATCACAAGAGCAATATTTGATCACAGTAAGAAATACACATCACAATTTACAACGACAGACAAATGCAACAAAAAAGTACATTAATACATATTAAGCATCTTTCTCTGTACACTGATAAAACATTTATTATAATATATTGGCCATAAAAAAAAAAACAAAAAGCTTAATCACAATAATTAAGATGGCAAGTGGACGTCTGGCATTTGGCACCTTATTGATGAAGTTTTTTTTTTTAATTTATAATTAATAAAGCTATTGATATACATTTATTTTATAAACTACAAAATATGGGTTAAAATAGAGATAGTCTTTGTTGCACTTTAGCCACTAAAAGTAGTGACTTAGTAACAAATTAAAACTGCTCATTCCTTTTTCATCTCTTACCTGTTTTGTTCTAAATGGATATCCAATTTCAATGTACTGGAATATTTTTTGTGCGTACCATCTTTCAAGGAACAATATACTTCTATGCATAATTCCTAGTTCTTAATGACCTTGAGCAGTCTCATCTTTACTTTTCCAATAAATATATGTGGAACATTTTTTTTTAAGAAACTATGTTGTCGTTTATTTACTTTCTTAGTTTTTTGGACATTGACGGAAGACACTATAAATTATTATTTGGAAATTGTTGTAGATAGCTGCCCTAATTGATTTTGGGTTCTTATTTAAAAAAAAAAAAAAATTTTTTTAAGCAGGAAATCTCTAAATTATGATTATAGTTATTTACATATACCAGAAACACCTGTTTTTGGTGTCGAATTGATAGTATAAGAATGAATAAAATATAATTCTATGGTAATTAAATATACATATTACACAATTTAGATATTTTGAAAGTAATTCTTCAGCAGCTGCCAGAAGTTACTCAACTAGTTTTTAGCTGTCGACGACGAGTTTCTATTCGGATTTAGAATCGTAACCAGTAATTTGATCCTATTATTTAGCAGTATCATGCTAAAGGATGATTTCTACCAGGTTCGGTTTCGTTTGCTTGACCGTCGTAATATTCGACGTGGAGATTGTCGCTGTGTAACAACCCTTTCTTTTCTTCGCCTGGACCGGTTCCTCCGGAGTATAAAGTATCGTAAACTGGATTAGCAAAATTGGTTGCCTATAAATAATTAAGCATATTTTTTCATTATATGGCTATTAACTGTTTATATTTAAATATTTACTTTATGAAAATACTTTATTACAAAATTGGCAATTTCTAAAATATGAAATAAGAAAGATGATTGCATGTTCAAAGATATTTCCACAGAGTTTTTTATTTTAGTAATAGATTTTAAGTGAAATAAAAGCTTAAAACCTGCTTCATTTTTTAATCTGGCCTGCCTATAAATATATATATTTATTTATTTTAAAAAGTTCAGTTGAAATTTTTTTTTATGCTTGTGTCAACAGACTGAGGTAAGTATATGTTTCCCAAGTAGACCTAAAATAATAAAGTGGATAAGGCAGCAGTTTCTAAAGTGTGCGCTGCAGCATCCTAGGGAACCATGGCTTCTTCACAGGGGCGTCACGAAATAATATAAAATTTTCATAATTTTACTTCATTTTCAATTCAATGTGATGAGATGTGACATCTAGCAGACCTGGTGCAAACCATTAAGTTGGTAATAACTGCAGAAGTATCTAAAGAAAATTTTTGCAGAACATCATCTGAATTGTTTTAGTAGTTTGTCAAACTTTCTCGGTATTTTGTTTTTTTTTTTATATAAATAACTGTTAGTTTCATGCAATTTCAGTGTTCAATTAGTTTTTGGCGATTGTATAACTGAATATTGTCATAATTATGTCAGGTGACAATTTTTAAGTACAGTATTTCTTCTCATATGCATTTTAAAAAATGAATTGGTTTTTACTAAATAGTAATAACGTTGTGGCAGTGAAAGTAAGGTGGACACGCCATCAACCAGTGGTAAGAGAGTTTCAATATTTATACTTTGGTTTTATGTCTGAAGAAGAGATGTCAATGGTAAAGAGAGGCTGCAATGTATTGTATATGAAAGTTTTGGCACTCTAGTGCCAAAACTTTCATATACTTGCTACCAAGTAAGTTCAAATGCCATTTAGAAAGCAATCATCCTAGCATGATCATTAAATCTTGTGACTACTAAAATGTTAAGAATTAAATCAAGAAAAGTAAAGTATTTTTATAAGCAGGCATCAATATTGAACAATGCTTTGCTGGCCTCTTACAAGGTGGCATATAGAATTGCAAAATGTAAGAAGCCTCATAATCATTCTACCAGCTGTTATCGATATGGTGAACATTATGATTGGTGGGTCTGCTGGGAAGCAGCTTTCAAAAGTGTCTTTGTCCAATAACACCATCAGTCGCAGGATACAGCATGTAACGGAGGACCTCAATGATGTGTTAATTAAAAAAATAAAAGGGAAGGAATTTGAGTTGCAGCTGGATGAGGCCACAGATAATAATAATGATGCTCACTTGATTTGCTATGTACGATTTATAGATAGTAATAACATCGTAGACCTTCTCTTTAGTAAAAGCATCACTGCTAGTGCTAAGGCTCAAGACTTGTTTGAGATCCTTGATACTTGTATATCCAAAGATAATTTGGAGTTGACCAAATGCATTGGTATCTGTTCTGATGATAATCATTCTTTATCCAACTGTTATAGAGGATTGTAAGTACTTATTCGAAACAAAGCCCCTGACGCACTGTGGACCCGTTGCATTATTCACATGGAAGCACTTGCTTCAAAATATCTGAGATCTACAATAAACCAGGTTTTAGAATATGCAGTGAATGTAGTAAAGTTTATAAAAATGCAGCCGTTGAAGACAAGATTTTTCAAATATATGGGATCCGAGCACATGTCTTTGTTGTACTACAGCACTTTGCGATGGCTCTCTCGTCTTGTAAGTTTGAACTGTGACAGGAAATTTATATTTTCTTAAAGAGAGAGACCACAAGTGTGCAAAAATTGTGATTGAAGAGTTTTTGGTAAAACTAGCATACATATGTGATATTTTTGTAAAGCTGAATGCTCTGAATCTCTCTCTGCAGGGAAGCAACATGCACCTTTTAAAGTCATTAAAAATTAAAACAAATGAAGACAGAGGAAAAAATATTTCCCACTGTTGCAACAGTTTTTGACCTCCAGTGGAGTTGATCTTTCTCGGTATGGAATCCACTTTTGAAGAACCTTTATCACAGCTTATCACCTGGTTTGAGAAATATTTTCAAAATGATAATATTGATAAATTTGCATGGATTCAAGATCCATTTAATGCCAGTGCTCTATCTGAATTTACTACTGCAAAAGAAGAGTATCTTATTGAGTTGTCTTGTGACAATATGTTGAAAACAAAAGTTTGAAGCATGGAATTAACTGAATTTTGGATATAATATCCCCCTCTGAGTGGAAAAGCTCAGAAAATTTATTGATGTGTGTGCAGTTTCATGGTTTCAGAAATGGAAAATAATGTTTCATGAATCCTTATGTAAATGTTTTTTATATCTACACTGACAGCAGGACAGTGCTACACACACTTGAGAACAAAAGGAGACCCACACAACTAGGAAGAGAACTAATACACACTGCAAACTCTCTTGCGATGCATAAATCTGTCGAACCATCCACTTCAACTGGATTCTGGCGCACAAAGGTTACGGAGGGAACAAAACAGTGGACCTGCTGGCCAAAAAGGCTTGCACACTTCACTCCCCTCGCACCTACTCACACATACCAATGACGATGATCTAGGAGAAAATAAACTCAATTACAAACACCCTATGGCAGATTGAATGAAACAACTCCATGACAGGAAGACTCTGCCATAGATTTATACCAACTCTAACGGCAAGGAAAAAAGTCCATCACTTTGAACCCGATCCAGACATGACCCAATACCTAACGGGTCATGGGAAATTTCAGTCCTACCTTTACCGCTTTAAAAAACACACGGACAATAAATGTGATTGTGAACTTAAAAGTGAAGGAGACTCCGAACATTTTATGTTTCACTGCTCTAAATTCCATCAGCAACAGAATTTTTTAGGGACACCATCACAAGTGGACTAACATGGCCACCACAGCTGGCAGACATCTTTGCCACCAAACAGCTGTGGTGCAGCCTACAAACTTTTGTCAAGAAAACAAAAGAACTAAATCCGGACTACCTCAAACAAGAGCAACAGACACTGAATGACAATAGTCCAATCCACCAAGCATCGGAAAGCAAAACAGATGATGATAGTAAGGACGGTTCCTGAACATATATGCTTTGTACATATAACTTTCCCATTTTACATTAATTGCTCGATATTGCTTTATATAAATTACTGTATACATTGTCGTGCCATTTTGTTTATATAGATTTCTGTGCTATTGTATCATGTAACTGTATTTTGTTTTATTTTGTATGTTGTTGCATTGCGGGTGCCCATGGAACCCATGGTCACTTCCTTCCTCTCTCCTATCTATCTAACTTCTTCTTGCTGCTTATCTCCTTACCTTCAAACCCCCTTTCTGTTTCCTATCTAAATGAGCTAAGTCAGTCAGCTAAATGACTGACAGCTCTCTCGCCCTCTTTTACAAATACAAATACTGCAATTGTAAGTTTAGTTTGTGGTTGTATTGTAACAAACATTATTTTATAGATGTCTAAAATTTGTCTCTCATCCTGTGTAATGGCTGAGGAGGGATTTGATTGAAAATGCACTCTATAATAAAGTATATACATGGGAAAAGAAGTGTTTCAATTCCATTTAGTCCAAGGGCTTCCTAGACAGGTGTTATGAGTCTGAAAATGTTTAAAAGTATATGTAATATTTCGTGAATAGTTGTTGTTCAAATATCTTTACAATGATAAAATAAACAGCTTATACAAATTCATAATGATGGAACTTTTCAAATTTTTCCATTATGTTAATTTTCTGAGTGTGAAAATGTCATAAAAACATTGATGGAAAATAATTTTACATGGATAAACATACCTACAAACATGGCATTTGTAAAAATTATCACACACATAATGTGAGTAATATTTAGAAATACAGTATATAGATAGAGAATTTAGTGCCTATTTTTATATTTAAAAAAAATATATTATTTTTTAATATAAATATATATTTGTCTATTGTTATGCGTTTGTCAATTTTATCATCAAATGACAATACCAGAAAAAAATATATAGAAAAGGATTTTTTTTACCTTGTCAGGGTCAAGAGAAAATGAAGAGTTCAATGCTTCGGTAGCTTCGTCGTATTCTTCTCTCATGTACATGGGATTGCTAATTTCTAAATTAGCACTATCTTGCATTCTGACATGCATAAATGGTCGGCTGCTGAACAATTTGGTTATTAGTTAAATACTATAAAGTAAAAAAGTTTTTCAATTAAAGCAATCGTCGTTTCTTACCATTTTCGTTTACGATGTATAATGATACCAACTGTCATCAGAATAATCAAAATTAATACTATCACAATAGGAATGACGAGAGCAGCAATCACTAAAAACAAATAAATAAATAAATACGAGATTGTAACTGAAAAAAATTATCAATTCAATTAATGAAAGGTTAGTTTTATTTTTGTTTTTAAATAATTATATTATCAGGATTTTAAGATATATTGTTTTATGAAAAAATTTAATCATATTTTATATATATATTATGAGCCAAATGATTAATGACTAAAATGATCGCACAGCCTGATAAATATCGAAATATTTTCAGATTGACCAGACATTATGCATAAAGCTACATTCCTTTGGGCCATTTGATTTTCAAAAATGTCCACTTTTTTTGTTAAGAATTATTTATTGTCAATTATTTAATTATTTCAAAGTATTTTAAGAAAACCCCCTATATTATATTTCTTAATACAGTTAACATATATTCTCAATCAATCCCTATATGTAAATTTTGGGGTGGAATGATAGTATAAAAATAGCATTCTATAATTCATGGATAATCCCTGTTATTTTTCTAATAAAAATTTTAAGTTAAAATTGTTCTATAGTTTTTATATATTATAGTCTACTAAAAATGTTTTTTTTTTCAAATATTCTTAACTAGTCCTTATGCAGTCTTCATCAGAAGTAAAACTTAAGCATTCAAATCTGCTGAGATATTAAAACAAATAAGTTTTTCTCCCTCTACTTAAAATAAACTCGTACTTTTTCATTTATATTGAAGTCATTAATTTGGAAATAAAATTTTCAATTATTTTTGAACTGGAAAAAAAATGAAAATTACAACTTACAGCCTGGATGTTCATCTGTTTGATAATCTATGGCGGAAGGAGCGAGAGCAACATTTGTTTCGCATCTTATTCCTACAAAGCCTTTCGGACACCTAAATAAATAAAATTTAAATATATAATAAAACTTCCTTATTTTTCTTAATATTATTATAAAACATTTCTAATTANCTTAAAAAATTGACTGTCCCAGACCAAGTTATCATCATTTTAAAAGATAAAATAAAACAAAAATTCTAGATTTCCTTATATTTTATATTGTTATGCATTCCTTAATGATCATAACAATATATTCCTTATTTTATTTAACATTCTGGAAGATAAATGAACTGAAAACTTTAACTGTAAGTTATCTCTAAAGAAAAACAGCAAAATTCAAATATTTTGTCAATGTAAATTCTAAGTTTTTGCAAGATTAACTAGAGTAAAATAGTTTTGAAAATTGAAAATGAACACTGTGTTTATATAATTAAATAATGCTAAACTATGTATTTGCCTTTATATTTAAGTTTTGTACTAATTATTCATATAATTTTGATTTTTGAAATAATTTAATCATTAGTTATTTTAATTTGGAAGTAATTTTTTAAAAATTATATAACTATAACCCAAAAAAACTATTATTATTTTGCTTATATAATATTTGAACTATTAATGATATTCCTGAGTACATTAGAATGTATGATGATACAAATTTTGATATATTTTAAATAGTACTGTATTTATATTTATGACAAATATTTTAAATAGACACAATAACAAAATTTTATCATCGTGAGTGGGTTAATGAAGATTTTATTCATTATTAGCATTTACAATTTTTTTTATAAAAGTCATCACTACCCTCAAAATTAAGCTTTTTGTCATTTTATATTTAATTAACAATATAAAGTTTTACAATAAAATCTCATAATAGATGGAGCCACCAGATAATTTTAATTTGGTGCTAGTATGTCTTAGTGCTTTTGCCAGGAAAGTTATGCAACTCGTTACTGGATTTTCTTTGGAAATTATGTCTTAACTGACATAAGTTTAAACAGCTACTCATAAAATTATTATTATTTTTTAAAATTCATTTTTAACATTAAATAACTACTAATTACTAATGATGTGTGCAGCTTTTCAAATCTTGGAATCAGACTAGGACACCATCAATTCCTATTCTGTGTTGATTTTTAGTAGTTGCTGTGATTAAAAAAACTTATAGAAAAAAGAAAATTTGCACATTTTTTTCCAGTTTGATACGAATCACATAGGTAACTTTTACTTTATTACTGTAGAATATTAATGATGACAAAAACATTGCATTATATAATAAAAACATAACGATATCATCATCATCTGGTGAAATAAAGCGCACACAAACCTCTTTTTAAACAGAGTTAACGTGAATCCATATTATGGCCTTACCCTAAAAATGGAACAATACAGCAACAAATCCATCCATTTTTTTTGGCTGCAATTTAAAAAAATTGTAGATCTATAAATTCCCATTGTTGTCCATCTGTCTTTCCTTAATTAATCTCAAACAAAGTTAGATACATGAAATCTGAGAACAGATATGGAAGTTAGGATTAGGTTAGCTTAGGGGCAGGAGGTCTCAATTAACTGTGCATGAACTTCTGATGCAAACCAGAAGTCATGCTATTATGATTAAAATATTTTCCCCTATAAGGAGTTAGTCATGCTGTCATCTATTGCTAACAGGAAAAGTATGATGTACAGGGCCAACACACCACTAATTTGAGGAAGAGATCATATATTTTAAATTTAAAAATTATTATTAAAAATTGCAACCTGGCATTGTGATCATGTCACAATAAATAATTACTCATTGGATATTAAAATCAAATTTAAAGAGCATACATACCAATGTATATTATAAACAAGAATACATTTCTTTATTTTAATGATCAATTTGCTGACGATCACGCCAAAATATTATATTGTAAAAAAGGGAAGGCACTGAGGTCGGCGTTATGTGTGCGTTTTTTATTCGCTAGTACTTTCGACGAACATGTGTGCGTTTTTTATTCGCTAGTACTTTCTTCTACACCTTGCTGAACCTAAAGAAACAGTGGCACAAGCTGCTTGCCCAACTACACTTTCTGTTAAGCTGCAGAACGCAAAAGGTAGTACCTAAGTCTATTTCTCTTAAGTACAAAGCCTTTCCACCCTGTCTTCGACGGTCTCTTCCGAGTGTGGAAAAATCTCTCCTCGCAAAGCTGATTAGGAACAAACGAAAGTACCTAGCAGAAGCCGAGCTCAACCTCTACGCAACACACCTTCAGTTCACCAAAGCTTGTGATCCAACTTTACTCTACGAGCAGCTGGGTAAAATACAGAGTATAGCATCCTATTCTGCCCAGGCTTTAGAAAAGAAATTGAACAATAAGCTCCAGTGGTTAGCACGTTCGTCGTATAAGCAAAGAAAAGTGGAGGTGAATATCCCATATTACAACTACACAGATGAAAACGTGCCTAACGCAGTGCATAAAATTCTACAACGGGGACCTAAGTATATTCCATCGACCAACACCAATTTTTCCCAATTGATCCCGGCCACGTTAGCAGCACTCAAGTTTTGCCAGAAGGACACTGCATGTTCACAAATGGAATTATCTATAATTACGAAGATTGCCACGGCAAAACAAAGATCCGGCAAGCCCAAGGGCGTTGTGGACCTTCGAACAGTAGAACACTTCCTTGCCAGAACCAACTTGAGACTTCTAGTCTCTGACAAGGACCGGAGGTTTGTGCTATGCAGAGAGAATGACTTTCTCATCAGGGCCAATGAATTTTTAACACAGTCGCATTCCTCAGAAATGAGTGACGACCCTACTCCGGCGGTATTAAGAAAGGCAAGAAGAATCATCGCCTTACCAGGTGTTTCCTCAACCCTAACTGGGTCGCTCGATCCCCCCTCTAATGTTGCGTGTCCTAGGTTGTTCTTTCAACCAAAAACCCATAAGACAAACTGGCCGTTACGTCCGCTAGTAAACAAACGGTCTCATCCAACCTATTATTTAGAAAAAGCGCTTGCTAAATTCCTTCGCGCATTAGTTCCAGATTCTCCATATGTTACTCCCTCGTCTGTAATTGCTAAATCCACCATCGCTTTAAGTATTGGTACACTACGGCCAGACGCCTACACCTTTTACAAGCTGGATGTAGTATCTTTATATCCCTCAGTGCCAACCTTTGAGGCAGTAATGCTGGCTAATTCTCTACTTCTAAGAAAGGGCTTTAACATCCAACAAGTGCTTGATTTACGAGATGCGCTCAGCTTCGTCACCGAGTGTAATTACTTCCGTTTCAACCAGAAAATCTATTTACAAAAGCAAGGGGTTCCTATGGGCTCCCCTTTATCTGCTATCCTGGCAGAACTTATTATGAGAGAGATCGAGCACAGAACGTTCAATTCCCCGCTTGCCATCCACTATCCGAGGCTGTATTTGCGTTACGTTGACGACATCCTCATAGCGTGGGAAGACACAGATGAGACGTTCCTCATCTTTATGCAGCAACTGTCAAGCATATATCCTTCCATCAATTTCTCTTGGGAAAAAGAAAGCGATGCGGCAATAACGTTCTTAGACCTGCATATAAGTAAGTCTTCGGAAGGACTACAATTCTCGGTTCATCACAAGTCCAGCATAGCTCCACATATTATACCAGCAGAGGCTTTTCAGCCTTCTCGATATGTCAATGCTGCCATTGCCGCTCTCGTTAGAAGGGCTTACTTACTATCATCTTCGCAAGAGCTGGTAAACATGGAGTTAGACAACATAAGTTTGGGGGTACGCACTGCTGGCTTTTCACGTGCAAAATTTACGCACGTGCTCAATATGGTAAAGAAATCACTGTTTCCAAGTACCACATTATGCAGCAAAAGAGAATTTTCAATGGTACAAACATCGTTGCCATACCTGGGACCCCTCTCTATACGTATCTGCAGAATCTTTAAGCAGCACGGCCTTATACTACCACTAACCCCACTTCCAAACCTACGCAAACTCATTTGTAATGATAGGGACAAATTTTCCACGCTTGAGAAGTCGGGGGTCTATGCTGTACCTCTGGAAAACCTTACAACGGGAGTAAATGCAAGATATGTCGGGGCCACTACTAGAATGCTTGCCAGCCGACTAGAAGAGCACCAAAACGATGTTGCGAGGGGTAGACACACCACCGAGCTCGCAAGAAAAGTACTTGAGCAGGGTTACAACCCGCTATGGTCCCAAGCGGTTATGCTCAAGAGCTGTAAGGATCGAAAAATCGTATTTATATGGGAGTCTCTTCTTACTACCACCTTGGACACGTGCAACATTCCAACTCTCGAGCTGCCCAGTGTATGGGTCACACTATACAAGCAATTAAGTAAAAATTAGCATTCTCCAGAATGCGTACAGTGTGTGTCTAGATCTGCGCATGCGCGTATTCGCACATCATGGAGCTTTCTGCTCGTTCGTTTTTCGAACATTTTTGAATATTTCTATCGTGTTCCTAACGACTTTTACTAAAGTTTCATCTTAAATTTAAGCGTTCTATTCCAAATCGGATTATTTCCGTTTAATTCTTTCGATAATTCGCCTGATGACGACGGCTATATGTTCGTCGAAAGTACTAGCGAATAAAAAACGCACACATAACGCCGACCTCAGTGCCTTCCCTTTTTTACAATTTCTTTATTTGTTCCGGCTCATTCAAATGTTCCATTTAGATATAAAGTAGTTGCTTTTAGGTTGTTAATTAGGAGGACATTTACCCATTGCACCAATATTAAGGATATGATCATAGAGCTTAAGCACACAGAGTACTCAATAAAACTTATAGAAAATTTAGCAAAAATATATGAAAAACAAGGTATCACCCAGGACAAAAAAGATGCCCCAGCTAAGTCTAGAAATATAATATAATATTGGTTTCACCTCTTCTCATTCCAAGAAATTACATGTAAGTTAAGAATGATCTGGCATACAAAAGGAACAAATGCTACAAAATCACAAAGATACTATACTATTTATTTAAAAAAGTCCCTCAAAAATTGATATAAAATTTCTTTTTATTGGTCAGATTTTCAATGGAATAGATA